ACTCCATAAAAAGTAGACTCATCTATTTTATTTTGTATTTTGTACTCAGGACAACTCAGAGATCCATGAATTAAACTCAGAAGTTGGTACATATAGCCTGTGGTCTAGTTCTTTAAACAATCTACATTGTCCTATATTCTTATGTTTAATTTAAAAATGATTTTTAGACAACATTTTGCATGTTTTTTGTAATTTAGCATTATATCATAATCATACATTTCTTTTGTGAAGTTAAAATCCGTCCCATGAAGAAATTTAATTGTAAAATCTTGCATAGATTCATATACCCACATATATGTTACTCTAGATTTTTGCATCATATATATTCATACTGATATAATTTTTTTAATTTAGCCAGAATTTTTTAAAAAACTAATGATCAGGGCAATGTTTTAATTTTTTTCCAAATACAAATAGTGTGATATCAAATAGGGCTTAGTATTTTTAAAGTAGTATACATTCTACTACGTTTTAATTTTCCTACATGTGAGATTACTTTTTATACTGCTTAATTACTTTAATTTTTGGTTATTTGATTTGGAGCTATCTCCAGCTGTGCTCAAAGATAGGCTTTTGGTTCTGCACTGATGACTTCTGGCAGTACTCAAGGGACCCTAGGGGGCAGGTATCAAACCTGGCTTACTCATACACAAGGCAAGTTAATGGCTGTACTATGTCTCTGCCTGATCTCGGAGAGCCCGGCAAGCTATCGAGAATATCTTGTCCGCACGGTAAAGACTGGCAAGCTCACCGTGGCGTATTCAATATATCAAAAACAGTAACAACAAGTCTCACAATTTGTTGTGAGACGTTACTGGTGCCCGCTCAAGAAAATCGATGAACAACAGGAGGACAGTGACAGTGACAGTTCTAGCTACTTATTACAAGATTTAAATCACACACACACACACACACACACACACACACACACACACACATATTTGCTTTTGGTCCTTATCACAGTGCTTAGGGCTTGCTCCCTGGCTCTGTGCTCACAAATCACCTCTTCCAAAGTTCAGTGAGGGGACAATACAAAGTTTCAGAGATTGAACCCAGGAGTCCCTTACAAGGTAATTGCCTTATGCACTGTAGTATCAGTACAGCCTAAAGGATTTCATAATCAAATAAGATTCCTACAAAATGCTTTCTACCAAAATTTCTAAAATTTTGACTAATTTATCAACATTAAGCTATAGTTGGTTTGATTATTTATATGTATTTAGTGGCATGCATCGAACATATCAACTAGATGCATGTTTGGTATGAGGTAAGATTTGTGATATCACAGAAAGAAAAACATTGCATTCTATTGTTATTTGAATGCCTATAACACTTAATGTTGTAAGATAGTCTACATGTGGTTAACATGCAGAGTTTAATTAAGCCAGAATACATGGGCTGCAATTCATGGCAGTCACAGTACATGGAATCCTAAATAAGTAGCCTTCAGCTAAGATGACTTTTATGTGACTGCCTTTTTTAATTATCTGTGTTTTTGTTTGGGAGTGCTTGGGTGTCATACTTGGTGATAGTAAGAGTTTATTACTAGCTTTGTGTTCAGAAATCACCCATGATAGTTTTGGGGGGACCATACATAAAGTCAGGTATCAAATCTGTATTAGTCATCTATATGTCAATTTCTTTACCAACTAGATTATCTCTCTTATCTCTACATCTCATGTGTGTTTTTATTTTAATTTTAGTTCATCATAAACCATGAAGCAATAAGAAATATTATTTTTATACCCTTTATTTAGAGCCATCCTTGGGAAATAACCAACATAACTAACATATCCAGGTTACTGAACTTATTGATTCTAGGTTCCCTCAGTTTTACTTGTTTGTGTGATTAAATTTTTCAAATGATCCAAAGTGCAGCATCCTTTCTTTCTTCTTATTATTTATTTATTGGCTTTTTGGGTCACACCCAACGATGCACAGGGGTTACTGCTGGCTCTGCATTCAGGAATTACTCCTGAGGGTGCTCCTGGCAACTATATGGGATGTAGAGGATTGAACCCGTGTTCTGCAGTGGGTAAGGCAAACGCCCTACACACTGAACTATTGTTCCAGCCCCAGTAGCCTCATTTCTATACTGGCATAAACAAAAAATGAACCTTTGTAACATCAAGAGGATGTGTCTGTGGCCTTCTGTAACGAAATCCATTTTCCACTAGTCTCTCTCTAACAGCAACAAATCTGTTCATCCTCTCTAATATGTTGTTATTTTAATTGTGCTCTAAAGTGTAATCATGCCATCAGAAAGTGTAAATAACTTGCTTCCTCTAGCGGGGTTTAATTACATCATCCAAGTTGTTCCATGCATTCTGTCTGATCATTTTTAATGCTGAGTTGTTTTCTCTGAATGTGGTACATTTTGACCATTTCCCCACTGAAGGACAGAATTACTTATAGTTTGAGACTACTATAAATAATGTTGCCATGAATATTTATATCAGCTTTTATGTTAACATAAATGTTCATTGCTTTAGAGTAAATGCCCAAGAGTACAATTTCTGGGTTATAGATCAACATGTTTTCAGTATTACAAGAAACTCCTAAATTTATGCCAGCTGTGTGTGAGTGACATAATCACTCACATTCTTACCAGATTTGCGAGTTTCTGATGTGTTTTATTTCCCAGTCTGAGAGTTCTTTCAGACATAAAATGATCAATACTCTTTTCCTGAATATGCAACATTGTTAATTATGTCAATGTTAAATGTCTGAGTATAAAAAACACTATCTTAGGGGTCTGAGAGATGGCACAAGTATTAAAGGCACTTATCTTGCACGACAAATCCTAATTTGATACTTAGAACCACGTGGTCTCTGAAACAACTTGAGAAGTGACTTCCAAGCATAATGCCAGGTATATCCCCTGCATTTGGATCAGTGTGGCCATCTGCTGATAGAAGTCAGGTGAATTAGGCATATATCTTTGACTAATTTTTCTAGGATTCCTTGAGGGCATAGGACAAAATTTGCTTCAATAAATATCTAATTTTCATAGAGAAGTAAAAAACTTACAGCTGAACAGACACTATTCTTAGAAGTATAGCATGCCTAAGTATTTTAGGTAATTCAGAAATTACAATTTCAAACTGAAAATAATTTCTAATGTTTAAGTATAAAATGAGTGCAGAATTTTATCAGGCTCACTTAACTGTGGAGATATTTTTATTTGTATAGAGTATACATTAGTTGACAAGATTTTTTTCCATTGGACAGAATACGATTAAATGTGCAGTATTAGATGATTAATTAGGTTCATTTCATGAATAATTGATTGCTCTTAACCATTCATTCTATAATGAAGCAGCAAAATCCTTAATCGGAGGCTTTCCTGTTACATGTTGATTAGTTTTCTTTCACGACTAATGAAAATATGATACAGATATGTCTAATTATGCAAACACATGTAAACATGGATAAAAGAGCATGATGGGTTCACTAATTTAGTACCCAAAGCATAAATTTTAGTATTTAAAAACAATGTTATGAACACTTGGTGATTGTTCTCACAAACATATAACAATGAGAACAGGGGTAATTGAGGATCAGTAAAAAGACTATTACATAGTCCATGCATGTAATCATCAGGGAAATGGAAACCAACACAACAATGAGATATCGACATACCACAGTAGGGTTTAAATTTTGCACCTGTATGCAGCCCACTTGGGTTGGGCGCCCAGCTTTCCATATGTCACACCAAGCCCCACCCGGAAGAGAGATCCCTGGGAACAGAGCTAGGAGTAAGCCTTTAGCAGGGCCTGTAAAGCCATCAAACAAAACAATGGGGAAAGCAGAGCTCGCATGGGTGCCAGAGCTTAATAGTTGCTTATGTGAGACTCCAATTTAATCGTAGTTTCTTTAGGAGCCCCTAAACACATCGCTTAGCCCTAGACTCCCTGAGTTTAGCTTGAGAGACCCCTTAACGTCACTGGAAATGATAATGGTCCCCAGCACAGAGGTCCAGAGTGGATCTACAGGCTTAAGCTGACATAAAATTCTCTGCACTGCTTGGGGAAGCAATGGCTTCCTGGCTCCAGAAGATGTTTCTTGGGCTTCTCACTCCACTCCCTCCCCAGTAAATTATGTTGGTCCTGTGTAGAACAGCCTAAAGGGATATGGTTTACTAGTTGACAACCAGTAAAAAAAAAAACTAATACATTGTACATGTGCAATTGTACTCATCAGGGAAATGCAAATTACAGCAGTGAGATATCAACTCACACAACAAAGGTGGAGGGGAATATTCAACTGGGAAGAAGAGAGGGGCTGAAAGGCAGTGAAATGTTAAGCATGATACCCAGTTGGCAAAAGTACTATAAAGAACAGTGTCAAAATTATACCAAAAATAGAAAAAGTGCTGGTCCTAGAGTGACACTGGTGGGAAGAAGGGAAATTGGAAGCATCCACTAAGCTAAGCAGACACTGGAGAAGGGATTGGTGTGGGACCATTGCATTCCTGAATAACTTTGTGATTCTCAGTGACAAATAAAAAAAAAGTAAATTAAATTTAACACAGGCACGAAGTGATAAAAATAACTGAAATGGGCAGTTTAGATGCTGATGATCGTTTAATGTCAGCTCCCACCTCGAAATATCAAACAAGGAATTATCCTGCTTCCATATATCGTCCAGTGATGTAGCAGGACACATCGGGAGACACTGACTCTACCCCACAATTAGCACTGATGTGACTTCTGAGAGTCAACCCACCCCAGCGGTGATTATGTAAGCATTTTAACATTTTAACTCTTTTATTATAATACATTAAGAGCCAAATGGAACTGTCTGACACTGGATATTCTATTTTCCACTCTCAGTGCAATTGATGCCAAGGAAAGAAAGCAAACATTTGATAGATAAATCTAAGGATAAGAATTATAAGATGCTTGCTCTAAAAATATTAGTGTAATCTTTTTCTGTGCAAAAATGAATCATATGCCAACCATTATTACACACTAATATGTGTTTTCCTGGATGTTTAGGTACATCTGTTCTACAGGTGACAGCTACTGACGCAGATGATCCTACCTATGGGAATAGTGCTCGGGTGGTTTACAGCATTCTCCAGGGTCAACCCTACTTCTCCGTAGATCCAAAAACAGGTTAGTGCATTTACGGATAATTTGTGTATACCTTGCTTTCTTGTGTCTTTGTACGCTTCGACATCAGACATTGATAGAAAATGTGATAACGCCTTCACTCAAACAGTCTGATTAAATAACTGAAGATAACCTCACTGTATCACTGTATTACTGTCCATCCAGTTGTTTGTTGGTTGATTTACTTGAGCGGGCACCAGTAATGTCTCTATTCATCCCAGCTCTGAGATTTTAGCAGCCTCTCTTTACTTGTTTCTCCCAATGATTGGAGATTCTTTCAGGTCAGGGGAATAATTATATTATAATTATAATAATTATAACCTGTTATAATTACTGGTTTTGACATATCAAATATGCCACAGGGAGCTTGCCAGGCTCTGCCTGTGCCGGTGGGATACTCTCGGTAGCTTGCCGTGCTCTGTGAGAGGCACTGTAGCACTGTCCTCCCCTTGTTCATCAATTTGCTCGAGTGGGCCCAGCAATGTCTCCATTGTGAAACTTGTTGTTACTGTGTTTGGCATATTGAATACATCACGGGCCAGTTGGGCGAGATACTCCAGGTAGCTTGTCGGGGCATATATATATGTATATATATGTGTGTGTATTAATTATATATTAATATATTAAACCCTTAATATTTTGAATGTGTATTATTAGTGTTTATACTGATAATAATTTAAATTGATGATAACTTTCATTTATTTGTGTATTCCTTTTGATATGTTCAAACTTTATGGGTTAAGTGTGACACATTACATAAAATGAGATTTCCAAGGATATTGTATTTGGAGTATAGTTTTGCTTGCTAATGTAAATGATCCTTTGATTTTCTTCTATAATTAATTTGAATCTGCTGTGCGGGCAAAATTGGAAAAGTTTTTTATAGATACGATTTTCTGAGAAATATCTTGAATTGACAGTCCTTTCCTAAGAAGAGAAATTTTTAGCTCTCAAATATTTTGTCATATTAAAGAATTTGAACATAAAATGATGTAAAGGCAAAATGCTTTAAGGAAAAAAAGTAATAACATTCTGCTTTTACCTGACAAGAAGACTAAACTGTATTATGATTATGTGATGTCAAATTGGAATGATTGATGAGAACAATCGCACGTAGGTGGAACTCTTGCCAATTTTGGGTTGATCTCCAGTACCCCATATATTCCGCTGGGCCAGCCAATAGTAATCCCAGAGCACAAAGTAGAAGCAAGCCCTGAACACCTCTTAATCTGTCCCCAAATCAACAACAACAAAATGATGGAATGAATAATGCTCAATAATATATGAGAGATTTGTGTTTCTAATTGTATGATTTAAAGCACAAAAATCCTATGGATTTGCTGACAATTTATTAACAAAATGTGAACAAAATATGGCAAATATTAATTTTAATTTTATTCTAGTCATATATTCTGTTGCCTCTTACCTGAAAAATATAAAAAATACAAAAGTATAAAGTATATATCATTTAAAGTAGAAGATAAATAATATTATTGACTTAATGTAAAAATGACAATGTATACCTAATAATTAGGATAATCTATTGTATTTTTTTAATTTGTGTTTGAGTAACAACCAAGGGTGCTCAACGTTTACTCCTGACACTGAGCTCAGGATCACTCCTGGCAGTGCTCAGGGGATTATATGGAGTCTGGTATTTAACCCTGGTGGGCAGGCTGCATGCACTTCAAACGACCTAGCAGCTGCTCTATTTTTCTGACCCTGGAGAATCTGTTTTTAATTATTACAAATTAGTAAATTATAATAAATGCATTAAATATTTATTTTAATTTAGCAACATGCCATTTTTTTAGTTAATGGAGATGCTTCCATTATGTATACAGTATTTTTATTATGGTGCATGGATTTATAATATTGAATGTGGTTTGTAGGCACAAGGCTACACTTCTTCAAGAACACACAATTATAACAGATTATAAGAACATGTTATAAATACCACCCAATATTCATCTATCAACAGCCAACCACCAAGCTCCATTGAACTGGTTCTTCTTTCTTGTCTAACTCTTTCACACACTGCAGTTACCTCAGAAGGCTCTTCTCATGGATTCTGAAACCTGAGTGAAAGCCTATGTGTTACATATGAGTGACACCATCTAGTTTTCGGTAGTTTGTGATTATATTGGTTTGGTATAGTTCTTTTTAATTTTTTTTAAAAAATTGTAAGTTGATTCACAACATTTGATTTCAGTTAATATTCAAACACCAATTCTACCACCATTGTACCTTCCAACCACCAAATTTGGAATGTTTCCATACCAAGCCCCAATCCCTGTCCCAAAGCACAACTGAAATAATGTATTTTGCATTGTCTGTTATGGAAAATAGCTGAAAATTCTACAAAAAAATGTATCCATAGAGGAGACAGTGTGAAGATTGTTCTATTTTGGCAGGGGCCATTAAGACATTCTTTAGAATATCACTTTGTATATATATATCTGAATTTATGTATGTATGTACAGGTGTATATATGATGTGTTGCCTATTATTTGAACCCCATCAAATGTGGTGTGGTAGTTATGGAGAATTGGGTAGGAAGTATCTTATGATGTGTCATATGGCTGCAAATTCAGCCACGCAGTCCATGAATACGTTCATTCATGAGTGAGGCTCTGTCCGAACGTATGAGGAACAGCCTTGAGTGTGGCAGTGGTTAGGTTCTGGAGGTTTTTGGCTGCCAGGGCTGGGTCCCTTGGGGTGGGGAGGACTCTCACCTGCCCCCATCTCATAAACCCCAAGTGAAGTAGCTTGGTACGGAATCTGGTGGCATGGCTATGGCGGGCATCATGCTCCCTTCCAGGAGAAAAAGGGGTAGTGTAGGTATATTTGTTTATTTTTTCTCTTGCTGGTTTGGCCTTTAGAGTGGAATTTCTGTTGTCAATATTATGGCTTCATCACTGATGTCAATATCACATACTGTTTGGCCCATGATATTGACAACAGAAATTCCACAGTCAAGTTAACAGAGCATCAGATGAACTAAAAAACAAAAGTGTGTTCAAGATTTTTGTTTGTTTAAAAATTACATAGTTTCTCTCAAGTGGTGATAACTGATGATAAAATAAGTTCCCTCCACCTCTACCTCAATATACAGAATATGTCATGTTTCTTTTAAGGATTTTGGAGATAGAGTGATGCATTTATATAAGAAGTCATTGCAGAGCATGGATATTTCTTTAAAGTCAGAGCTCTTAAAATTAGTTGGTGACTCTTCAAGATAATTCATATTAAGAAACTTTGAATTGCTTCATGTTTCATGTTATGTTATCTTCCCATGCATGAGTCTATGTTGGTGTCTAATAGAAAGACCTATGCTAATTTTCCCTGATAGTAAATTTGGGATACATGAAAACCTGGATTAAATACCTGTTATCAGTGGGGGGAAAAAAGGATATGTTAGTTTACACAATTGGTTTAGGTTTATTTATGATTTTTAATAGTTGTAATGCTAATAATGATGAAATACAAGCTTTTTTGATGGTAATTAACCCAAATCTTTTATCCTCAGTGATTTTCTATGTGTGTGTATTCATAATGTGTATAGTCCTTTCTGTCATACATTTGCTTTTAAAATTTCTGTTATACATTTTGTAAAAAGTTGCACTTATCCTACAATTTACACGCTATTTTTTCAAAATCTCTATTTTTTGACTCTAAAAAATGTAGAACTGAAAAATTTAGTGGCGAAAATATATTTTATTACTCAATTCTACATTTACTTTTTAATCCATTACAATAATGAAACAAAAATGCTACGTTTATATTATCCACCCTGTACATAAATCACGGCAGGGCATTTTGCCTTGCAAGTGGCTGGCCCGGCCACCCAGGTTCGATTCCTCCACCCCTTTTGGAGAATCCCGCGAGCTACCGAGTGTATCTCACCTGCACGGCAGAGTCTGGCAAGCTACCCGTGACGTATTGGATATGCCAAACATAGTAACAACAAGTCTCACAATGGAGATCTTACTGGACCCGCTCGAACAAACCGATCAACAACAGGAGGTCAGTGCAGTGCAGTGCTACATATCAAATGTTTTTTTCTTCAATATCCTAATGCATGCTAAAGCCTGGAATCATATTTAAAATGCTAGGCATTGGATTGCAAATCTTAAGTCATTAAACTAAACTAATGCTACTAAACTAATCTGCACTAGTAGCATCTAATACGTAGGGAACAAAGAGCATTACAACATTTGTTGGAATCAAATAAATTGTTCACCTAGAAAAAAACTTTCAGCTTTTCAGGCACAGGTGACACTATTAGTTCATTAGTTATTACAGTAAATATAATCAAGACATTGCTTAAGTGGTCTTCCTATAGAAGGATGGAAAGTTACTTATGTTATTGTTTAATTGATAAGGTAAAGGTAAAGGTAAAGGCCCTCCAGTTGATCGTCGATTTGCTCGAGCGGGCCCAGTAACGTCTCCATCGGAGACTTTGTTATTACTGTGTCTGGCATATCCAATACTCTCGGTAGCTTGCCGGGCTCTCCGAGAGGGGCGGAGGAATCGAACTCCGGTCGGCCATGTTGGCCGCTTGTAAGGCGAATGCCCTACCGCTGTGCTATCACTCCATATTGATACATGTTAATTATTCAGATTTGTGTGTTTTTCTTCAATGAACTTAGTCAACTGCCATTGTTATTGATAATTGACAAGTAGTTGCAACAATGTATTTATGTTGTTTGTTCACTGTGGTACTTACTGATTGTTTTATCATATTTATTGGAGATCTCACATTTGGTTGTGTGGTGCTTATACAACAGAAGCTCACACAGTTCCCCTCCTATAGTTCTTGCACACGTGCTCACCAATGTTCATACTCTTTAGTTCAGACACATGAGTTATGGTATGGGCACATGACAGGGGTTTAAAGGTTGCTCAACGTTCACCCAAAGTCACACTTATAGCCATAAGACTCTTGCCTCATGTACAATAAGGGGCTCTATTGGGGTTCATAGCACTTTATGGATTGCTTA